AAAGACAGTATAGCCTTTGCATCTATCTTAGCACGTAGAAGAATACTCCTAGAATGGAAATCCTCTAGACCACCTAAAGCATCTCTATGGCTTAACGATCTAATGTTGTATCTGAACTTGGAGAAGATTAAATATAACCTGAGGGGCTCTTCAAAACTATTTGAATCTGTCTGGGGCTCTGTGATAGCCTACATAGCTGATCTTACGACACTAAATTAAGAAGAAAGGAGGGGAACTAAGAATGTATATGTATGTTTGTTTTTTTATATATATATATATTTTTTTTTATTTGTTCTGTCTTTGTATACATGTATGTATGTAGGTACGTGTATGTGTGTACATGTGTGTGGGTATGTACACACATGTATGTGTATGTGTATATGTGGGTATACATATGTGAGTACATGGGTACATGTATTACTGTTACTATTCTTTATTCCCTTATCTATTAATTTTCTTTTAATATTATCTTCTACATTACTTTACTTTTACCTATACATGTATCTATTTATTTAGTTAGTTATTTAATTTACTAGCTAGGAACGGGAGGGGGGGAAAACAAAAAAATAAAAATATTGACTGTATGAATGTAAACACATTGTGCCTGACTCAATAAAAAAAAATAAAAAACTCTCAAAATTGACAAGTGAATGAACAAAAACCTATCTTTTTGCCTATTAATCTATACATGAAGACACTTAACCATTAAGACGTATGTATTCCTCCTCTCTCCCAGATTACTCTGTGACGGCAAACTCCCGCATCGTGGTGGTGACGGCTGGGGTCCGTCAGCAGGAGGGGGAGAGCCGGCTGAACCTCGTCCAGAGAAACGTCAACATCTTCAAACACATCGTCCCTCTGATCGTCAAATACAGCCCCAACTGCATCATCATCGTGGTTTCCAACCCAGGTGCTGCCAAACACACATTTTGACATCCTGTGTTTCCTCTCTCTCACAGCGGAGACACAGTGTTCAGACTCTGATAACGCTGACTCTCTTCAACAGTTGATGTGCTGACCTATGTGACCTGGAAGCTGAGCGGCCTTCCTAAGCACCGAGTCATCGGCAGCGGCACAAACTTGGACTCGGCTCGCTTCCGCTTCCTGATGGCGGAAAAACTGGGGATCCATCCCAGCAGCTTCAACGGCTGGATCCTGGGAGAGCACGGAGACACCAGTGGTGAGGAGGCAGGGGATTCGTGATTGGTCAGAATACTTTGATGTCATTGAGAAACACTGAAAGTTATTATGGTTTAGAAATGTCCATTTGTGTTTAATTTGTTAAGTTTAATTAGCTTACAGAGTGTTAGCCAGTATCTTCTTAGTTTTCGGACATGTATATTGTTTTATGTTTTGAGTTATTTTTCTGTGGGGCCAGGTATGTCTCAGAAGTATGTAGCTACTCGTACTGTACATACAAAATACATGGTGAGAGAGCTGTGTATGAACAGCAGTAGTGTTCAAATATTTTTAATTGGGATTCAATTTGAGTACCACCCTCTGAAGAGCTTGGTTAAATAATCTCCAATAAATTGTACATCATGTTGGACATTTCTGATTTCACACAACTAGACTTTAAGTGAAAAACACTGGGGCTAAAAAGTTATTGCCTCATAATGTCATCGCCTGGAATATCTCATCCATTCAGTTTTTGACCAAAATTCATGTCTCCTTTTTTCATAGTAGAGAATTATTATAAGTCAGAAACAATTCAATTAACAATCATGCTGATTTTGATTGTATTCCTTTTCTAACTAGACAATATCCTTTCGGTTGAGTTTAAGTTTTTCTCAAAGGATTCTTTTTCATTTTACGATAATAACAGACTGTGGCTGTGTGAAGCGTGTGGATGGAGGTTGACGGTTTTGTGTGTTTCAGTTCCTGTGTGGAGTGGAACCAACGTGGCCGGAGTAAACCTGCAGACGTTAAACCCGGAGATCGGCACAGAGAATGACGAGGAGAACTGGTCGGAAACACACAAGATGGTGGTGGACAGGTCAGTTCACTTGTGTATATTCACTTATGTGGTGGGGTTTTTTTTAAGTATAAGTAGTAGTTAAAAAATAGGACAGTAAAAACACCTTAAAGTAAAAGATATTAAAGAGTTAATTATGCACTCAGCACTATCTCTCTCTTGATCTCTTTTTCATCAGGTTAGAGGACTAAAGCAGCCGTCCTGAGGGAAATCTGCTTCTAAGTGCTCTTGTGTTTCATCAGCTTATCTTTAGCACTTCTGGTCTGCTTCATCACCATTAAAAAAAAAAACGATTATCTATCATAAATCCAATCTTTAAGCAGTCTGAAAACTCAGCCCCACCTTTCCTGTGTCCTGTGCCCCTCAGCGCCTACGAGGTGATCCGACTGAAGGGTTACACCAACTGGGCCATCGGTCTGAGTGTGGCCGACCTGACGGAGAGCCTCATCAGGAACATGAACCGGATCCACCCGGTCTCCACCATGGTGCAGGTAACGGCGCTCACACACATTCAACTTCCCATGCAGGGCCTGAGTCTTTAAGTCTCAAATACTAACGGTACCCTTGACTACAAACACTCTATTGCCGTGGAGCAGCGTCTGAATGAGTTGCGTTATAGTATTTCAATAGTACCTCTTTTAGAGCATAAATGTAATATACTTACTATATAACTTAACTATATACTTTGTTATTGATTGTTGATTTATTGAGAGAAATGTCAACAAAGATTGTTTTTCTTTTGGACATATTTGAAGTTCTTCGTGATCATATCGATGTGTTGAAGTCTAAGGTTCGGCTTCTAAAGCAAAATCTGAAACTGACTGAAGCTGATTAAAATAAAATTGTGATTACCTCCTTTTTAAAAAGTAAATTAAATAGTTTTTTACAATTGCAAGCTCAATTGTCTGAAATCAAGTTCACAGTACCCACAGTCAGCTCCATTGAAATTGATGTATGGCAGACATCAATAAATATATAGTTAATTCAGGTTTGAAGAAACAAATTCAATAATAATAATTTTTGTTTCGATTTGCATTCATCCTCTGCTTGTAGCTTCCTTTGTAGCTTACTTTATGCCAAGAGACCACGATGAGGGAGAAATGTTCACTGTTTTGTTTGACTTATTATGTCAAAACCTTTCTATAATGTGTAAATGAATACACAATATAGCAGACGGTGAATGTGTGTCCTCTGTAATATATAACAAAGCTTTACTGAATATGGGTTCGTCTCCCTGGGGATATATCTAGAAAATCTATTTTCTGTCTCCGATAAGTGGTTTAACAGCTGGATAGATGAATATTATTTAAACATGATTTTAAATTGTTATATCCTCTCTCTGTGACTTTGGGCAGACAGACAGTGACGTTGTGTTTTCTTTTCTGCAGGGCATGTATGGAATCAGCGACGCGGTGTATCTGAGTCTGCCCTGCGTGCTGAACAGCGGGGGCGTGGCCAGCGTTGTCAACATGACCCTGACGGAGGACGAGGTGTCCCAGCTGCAGGAGAGTGCCAGCACCCTGTGGGACATCCAGAAGGACCTGCAGGACGTCTAGCCGCACAGCAGGGGGCGACGTAGCTGAGCCCTCCTGCTGTGTTATCACTCACTAGCACAGCTCCACCTTCAAAACCCCGCCCTCTGTAGACTCACAGGGAGTTTAATCCCCTCAGATTTAGCTGTAGCTGTCAGTGTGTGATGGAGGAAGTGCTGCTCTGACTCATCTGTCCTCGGCTGTACTGCTGTGTGTCACTCGTGGTGCTTTGGTGTGTGAAAGTTTGTGGTCCCTTTAACAGCAAACTGCATGGAGTCAGAAAGGCTTATGTAAAAGGGTCACATTTATAATCCTATAACGCTGTGCACATATAACACAAAGCTCCTGAAGGGATTTCACTGAATCACTGCCCAATAATTATTATTTGGATGTATTATCACAGACCTTGAGACCACAGCTCCCCGCCGCGGCTTCGGCAATAGAGGTCTCAAGGTCCTAGGTGCCTCAAGGGGCGGTAACCCTCGAACCTCCTGGTGGACACCGGTGGTCAGGGAAGCCGTCCGACTGAAGAAGGAGGCCTTCAGGGATTTGTTATCCCGGGGGACTCCTGAGGCAGTTGCAAGGTACCGACAGGCCCGAAGGGCAGCAGCCTCAGCCGTGGCCGAGGCAAAGCAGCGGGTGTGGGAGAAGTTCGGAGAAGACATGGAAAAAGACTTTCGGGCGGCACCAAAGTTGTTCTGGAAAACTGAGACTGCCAAGGCACACNACATTGATCAAATATAGAGGAGACTGGATGGGTTATGTGTTTAATGATGGGACAGATTGTTATGCACACGGTGCAAAATAAGGTTGATCTGATATTTCCTCCCACATGTATCAGCTCTGACCTGTCTGGTTATGTTAATTGTATACAAATAAAATGAAGCCGTTTAAAAAAAATTATGGCTTTTTTGTCTTTTGAATGAAAGCCGGGTTTATTCCTGTGTGTCCTGCAGTCAGGTCAGTGATCATGTGGTAAACATCTAGGAGCCATATGCAAATTAAGTTTTATTCAAAAAGATATCAGTCTGAAAAACAGAATAGAACCCTTCTCAGTTTGTGACCTTTGTTTGACTTCATTTACAATAAACCTAATTGTGCCCCCTCTCTCAGAAGGTGGGATGATGAATGGTGTTTCTCGTGGTGTTAGTCTCTTGTGGAGTGTGAATTCATTAGTTGTTGCCCCAAGCTGACACAAATGTGTTTATAATCATGGGAAAGTGTGTGATCCCCTCCATGTGAAACACACACAGACAAGGCAAGGGAATTGTATTTATTTCACACGTTGAACTACAAGTGAACTCAAACAGTAGTAACACACATAATACAAACAACAAAGTGCAGCAACAAGACAATACAATGGAAAATTGTTTTCACAAATAATTTAGATTCAGCTGTTGTTCATTTGGGTAATTATCTGGATTGCCTTCAGCTGAGGAAGACAAAGAAACACACAAATATAACTTTACATTTCTCAAATTAAGAGATGCAGCGGTGATATCTGTCAGGGTTTTACCTTCTTCCACAGCTCGCAGCAGAAGCTCCAGAAACAAGGAGGACAAATTCAAACCCGGTCCATCTCTGTGAGTCACTGCAGGGACAACAGAACCAGATATTTAGACCAAGAGAAGAAAAACATGCCCTAGAAAGGAAGATTTTACAAACATAAAGACACAATACATAGAATCAGCTTTCTACTCCCTTATATAAGAATATTACCGTTAAGTCAGAGTACCAAACTGATACATGTATGTTTTTAGGCACCACTTTCTGACAAAGTATTATGAATAAAACAATGGAAGTCCATTTAATAATGGCTCTATTAATTGTTATCAAAGTATAGTAGTTACAGTATTACCCATTAATAGGAGCACATTTTGTGTAGCCAGGTTATTAATATATATATATATTATTAGCTGCACGCTCACCTGAGTGCAAGGTGTCTCCTTCCTCTCTGCCGGGGCGCTGCAGAACTGAGCGATGTCCTTCTGTAAAACATCAACATCAAACACTGTTTCCTCCTAATTTGAGTCTCAGATAATTGTAGTTATTCATTCTTACGTGCTCCCGTTAGGTATAAGATGGCCTGAGGAGTCCAGTTTCTCTGCTGCATTTTGATGTAGAAAATGTTTCGGCATAATTATATTCCTTATTAAAAAACTTTTTTTCAATTTTGGCTTAAATATGAAACAGAAGGAAATGACTTTGACCCACCTGTGGGGAAGTCCAACACTGAGCAGCCAAAGTCACCACCAGCAGCGTGACAATTAGAGACATGGTGGAACTCTGTAATGACAGAATTACAAATAATATAATCATTTGAACAGAGGGAAACAACCACATCACCGTTATTACAATATAATGAAGTTATAAGTAGATAACAGGAGGGTGTTTATTAGTGTTCAAAATGTGTTAATCCTTTAAAGATATATTTCATATTCAAGATGAAGATATCTTTAAGAGTATTTTACAATATTGTCAGTCATTGTATGTTTAAACACAAAATAAATTATAATGGTTACATTAATTAACTATTGTCTTTTAAAATCCAGAGTACATAGTGGTATAAACATTTTATTGTATGCTTATAAAAATAAAGGGGCATAAATTAAAGTGTGTAAACTGACTAATGTTCTTACATTTTCTCACAAAAAAGTACAATTATATTTTTTAACTTTAATATTACAATACAAATCTTATAAAAAGAACATAAAAGTTATTTTAAATTAAAAATAAATCTGTTAAATTATAAAATAATAAAACTATTATTTATTATAAGACATGAACAGCGGGAATTGATTATGTGAAAACACTTAAAAAACAATAACTAAAATGACATTAACAATTATCATACTTATAATACAATAATGATGATAAAATGAGAATAGTCTTACCTTTAATGATTTTCTGGGAAATGGATTGTGTTGTGCTCTCCTGCAGGGTGTGTGATTTGTGCTTCCTCTATCACTTCTGTTACGTTATAAAAACCAATCGCCTCATTAATATGCAGCGTGACCAATGAGGCTAATTGGTCTCATTACGTCTCACATGACTTTTCCATTGACGAGTGACAGGTGATGAATCTGTCGCTGGTCGTTAATCACAAGCACCGGAGATGGAAACTTTTTAAGACTCCCTCGAGCAGCGCAGGGTCTTCCCGGGGTCACGACATGATGACGTCACTGATCAGATCTTTATGAAGGAGTGCTGAAGTGATGACAGCGTGTGTGTGTGTGTGTGTGTGTGTGTGTGTGTGTGTGTGTGTGTGTGGACACCTGCAGGAGGCCGGGGGCGGAGGAGAAGTGAGACTGCAGTTCAAGTCCAAGAAGTAAAGTGTTGTTGATGCTTGTCATAAAAAGCTGCAGGACATATTGTACAAGTGCGTCTCCAGTGAATTAACAGGGCTCTACTTTTATTGACTGACACCAAGAAGTTACAATCTTTTTAGTTTTGCTAATTTGAGCTTTGTTCATTTGTAATAATTATTGGCCCTCTTGTTGCAAATCATATGGGAAGATATAACATCTTCCGCCAGCATTCGTCAACCTCACATACACTTTGTGACCCTAAGGTCCTCATCCGCAGGTTCATATATGTATAGTGATACAAGGTTACATTGATATGTGTATGTAGTGTCTCTACTGTGACATGTCTCCATGCTTTAATGTTCAAAAAGGTGTTTATTTTTCTCATACTGCCTGTGCTGCAGCACCTCTTTCCACCCTCTGTCTGAAACCAGAGCCCCAGTTTGCTCTGATTGGTTAGCTGGCCGGCTCTGTTGTGATTGGTCAACCGCTTAGAGTTGTCCCTCTCCATTGTACGAGTAGCCTATCACGTACAATGTTTTGGAGCGTTAGCTAACAGAATTGTGAGTGTTACATAGTGATGTCAATATGGCAGGGTGTGTGGGAAAGAAACTTTCTCTGGAGGGACCACAGGGATTTTAGCCTTTGCAGACCATTTACATGCACACAAACGTATAACACACGAGAGGAAAGGGAAAACCCCAATAAGCATAATATTATTTTCATAATAGGGTCATGTGACTCCTCAAATATTTTCAGACAGGAACTGAAATGTTGGATAACAGAGGCTGTTGATTGAGAATGTCACTGGCGCCCTTAAGGGGAAAACATACAAACTGATTCCAAGGTTATAAATAAATATAACACAAATGTATAAAAGACACACTTTATTCCAAGTATGCACTTACAAAACGTACAGTAAAACATCTCCAACAGAAGCTTCTTAGAGCTTTTCCACAACAGTTCAGGTTTCTTCGCCTGGGTAACATTTATCTCAACATTCGTTTCTTGAATGTAAAAGTTCCAGTAACACGTCGTCGAGGGACTCGTAACAAAGCTCTCACTGTCTGTCGAGGCACGATCTGGAGGAGAGGACCCTCAAAGAGCCCCTGACTCTCCGCAGAGTTCATCCAGTGGTCCCATGTTATCAGTCCATACATATCAGACAGGAATGGTACAAAATAGGAGACCTGCTTCCAGCTTTTGAAATTAAAAAAATCTCTTGGCAGTCAGATACAAAACATTAGATGTCAGTCAAACACACAGGTTGCTTGGATTCACAGTTCTGGAGTGGCAACGACCAAAATATACAGTCAACATTAGAAGCTATGATAAATACTGAAACTCTCCTCGAAACAAACACGGTCCTCCGTTATACCATGTTGTTGCTCTCCCCAATTTTATCCACCAGCTGGAAGAGAAAAAGACAGGAGAGGTTTTTATGAGCTGCATTTTTTACAGATGTAACTGCATCAGACAAAAAAATCACTCTTTTAAAGGGATAGTTTGGATTGTTTCAAACAATACTATCTATCCATTAAAGTATATGGAGAAAAAACTTGGAAGATTTATATTTCAGCTACAACTATAATTTGATTAAAAGATTAGTCAATCAACAGGAAATCAATCAGAAACTATTCTAATAATCAATGTTTTAGCCAAACATTCTGGCGCCAGTTTCAAAATGTATGCTTTTTTTGTGAGAAATAACAACATCCTTCTCCAGTGAAGTTACATTTTGATTGTCCCATGACTACTTGTAGCCGTTCTGTTAGTGACGACAGCCGATTAATACCGTTTTTTGCCAGGATTTAACTTTCAAATATAGTATGAAGTTGCAGCTTTTGATACGAATGAAGACATAATATAATAAATGTCAGACAAAGGCCGATTAAAGACTTTTCAGGCCTCTGGAGCAGGTTTGAAGTGTGCAATAATTTAAAGGGACATTCATTTAATGTTGTGATACTTACTCGACTGATCCCTGGTAAACTGAGCAAAGATCCGAGCACGGGTACTCGTCTGATGAAGCCCACCGCCACCGGGAAGAATCCTCTGTAACATAAAGAGAGAGGAAGATGAAGATCATTCTGATTGTGGGTAACGATGGCACTGATTTCCTTCCGTTTGAGCTGACCTGAATAAAAGGAAGAAACCATAGATCTCCAGAACGACTCCAATAATCGGCCAGCCGATCAGGACCACCAGCACCCCCCCCAGGAAGAAGCTGGTGGCTTTCACTTTGTGTTTCTGGAAGAAGAACCTGAACGTCCGCTCCAGGCCGATGACGAAGGAGAGGCCGGCCACAAACAGGATCTGAACCAGAAGAAGACACACGGTCAGAGCCGAGGGAGATGATCGACTGTCATGCAGTGATGTTAAAGGATCATTTATCAACTCACATTTCCAATGGCGAGGAGAGCTTTATCAAAAAACAGCACCATCCCAAAGAAGAGGAAAAACACACCGAACCCCGTCAGCCCCATCCCAATTTCTGTAAAAGACAAAAATACATTTAAACAATTTATTGAGGTAAACCAAACTAGTCAAATCAAAAATAAAGAAGGTATAATGAAATATTGTAAAGAGAAGGACATTTGAAGAAAGTAGATTAGTTATTACTTCAGTAAATAAGTTAAAAGTGTAGTAATACTGAAATGATAACACTTAAAGTAGACACACATTTAAGGATACAAATCAATGCAATTAACAATATAAATGTAACACTTGAAATTCAACTAAAACTAAAAATATAAAGTAAAAACATTAAATGATAAGGACAGTCTCCCAGTTTTAATAATACAAATGCTTCATGTACGTGCAGCTAGATGACGTCATGAAGCTCTCAGCCAATGGGGTTTGAGATGCTAACATCATCCATTCAGCTAACAAACCGGGTTGTTACACAGTCACAACAGAGACAGAGAACAGCGGGGAAACATGAACAGTTCTTACTCTGTGAATCCGTGAGGGAAATCATGTTGGCGGCGGCAGGAGAATTTATCAAACGACAAAATTCTCGTAACGATTAAACCTGCGGCTTTCTGCCGTTAGCACACACTGATACAACAGGAGGAGCGGGGTTACGCCACGTCGTCCGAATACACGCAGCACGCATTTCAACAAAGATCGTCTATTGAGAAGATGAACCAGAAACTTTGAAGCATCCAATTTACTTTTTTTCATAATATTGTATTTTATAGTTTTTTCTTTTTTTGTAAAGGTGCAGCTAGTTGTAATGAATTTGTATATTGAAGGGTAGATTGTGAATTTACTCCAGGTGTAATTAAAGTTGTTTAAGTGTTGAATATCATTTTCAAAATAATTAATCAACATTTGCAAAGTAACTTAAGATTTTAAAGTGGAAGTACACGATTTACCTCTGAATTGTAGTTGGGTAAAATTAAACGATTTACCTCTGACTTGTAGTGGGGTAAAAGTACACGATTTACCTCTGAATTGTAGTGGGGTAAAAGTACAAAGTAGTAACAAATTGAAATACTCAATGTCCAAGTACCTCTAAATTGTACTTTAGTACAGTACTTGAGTAAATGTACTTAGTTACTTTACACCACTGTAGGAGGCTCACAGAACAGCAACATGTTACAAGTAGTTTCTGTTACAAGACTGTTCTAATAATAATGAAAAATGAAATGACTCAAAGCAAGGGCAGCTCACATAAAATAAACTACCAAATGTGACACGCTATAGTACATGGAATTAAGTATACGATTCAAGATTAAAATGGCTTTATTGTAATATGCACAGTAGTTACAGTGTAGTTATGTAGGCAATACACATCTTAAGTCCCAGGCTCCTCCAACAATGCAACATAAATGCATAAAACAACATTTTATTTTTAAACAATAGAAATAGCGCAAGAAGAAAAAGAGTAAAAAAGAAAAAGTGCAAGAGAATGTTTCAGATTGAACTGCAAGTAATGCAGGAGAAGTGAAGTATGGTAAAATAGACAAGCTCAAGTCCATCATTTTTCCATCGACACTGTCCAGTGATATTCCAGATAACTCCAGACAGTTTTTAACACCAAGAGATTCCAGGTGTTTCCTCCATTGCAGTCTTTCCATCCAGACAGTGTTTTATTTTTTCCAGACTCATATTCATCTAGGATCAATGTTTTCCACATGGAGATAGATGGAGAGTCCTCCCAAACCCACTTTACCAGAAGAGACAAATATATATTAAGACTGAAAACAATGTTTACCCAAGGACATTGTATAATTCACAAAAAAAACTCTAAAAGGTTAAAGATGGCAAAACATGATGAAAACACAGGGAGGGCAGACATACAAAGAGAAATTCTAATGAGAGAAAAAAACGGATAAATTGTAAAAAAAAGTATATTGCAAGTTTCTATATTTTATATTTAAGTGTATTGGCTTTTGCAGCAGGGCTGGTTTTGTAATACAAGAGGTGTAGTCATAGCCGTGGGAACATGTTTCAAATGGGGGGTGCTGTGGGGATCACATCCTCTAGGGGGGTCAGGGGGGAAGATTTTTTTTCAACATTATAAAGTAAAATGCTTCAATCTGGTGCACTTTGAGCTGAATTGACAGAGACTAGATCTAAGGGGTACAACTCTAAACACCCATATCGAAAAGATCGGTTTACATTTTAATAATCAAATAATTATGTGGAAATAACCAATAACCTAACATAGCCAATAACAAGTAAATGTAACTTATTTTATTTTTGTTGTTCATTTATTTCTTATTTTACCAGTTAACATTTATTTATTTATGCATATTCTTTAATCTCTCCAGATTTAAACAATGTTTCTGGTTTACTGTCCTATAGTATGCACTGGAATGATTTCAAACCTGTTTTTATTTATCCCAATAATTATAAAGGTTGCCTTGGAAATATTTGTTTACATAAATTGTTAACAAACCGTTTGAGACCCTCTGAGATAACTTAGACTAAAGTGAACTATCTAAACACTCAGTCCTTTACCTCACTGAGCCTCTCAGTCTGTCTGGCTATCAGTCCTGTCCAGACAGCTGATATTTGTCCTGTGTGTGAGCTGCGGGCGCCTGATAAGCCAACATCCCCCACTTTCATCGTACAGGGCAAATGGAAACTGTAACCGGGGTGAAAAGGGTGTTATCTTTACTTAATTATGAATGTTGTTACATCAGGGCTGAAAATTCGTTTTTTTGTATTATATTTCCATTTAATCTTGTGGACGTGCAGATTCCCTGTCCTCCATCAGGGGGTGCTGCAGCACCCTCAGCACCCCTACTTCCCACGGCCCTGGGTGTAGTGATATTATCCAGAGATTTGAGCGGAGTGAGACCTCCATTTTAAAGAGACAACTGATCTGCGCATGCGTTAGAATGTTTGTGTGCGTCACTGTTGCGCAGTCATTGCGCTGTTAAAGCAACATTATACTCTTTCAATTCGTTATGTTTCACATATTTTACCCATATTTACTCCCTACACAGTATTTTTATTTATTTCGTAATGTCCCCTGAAATAGAGAGAACATTAAGGACATTGCGTACCCTTTTTCCCCTAGTTGTGTCAGAAAGGAACTACAACTCCCATGAGCCTATGCAATAAGGAAGTTTCAATCTCAGACGTGTTCAGAGTTTGTGTTGAAGCAGAATATCTCTTGCAAGACACACAATCAGCTGTTGACTTGCAAATATGCACCGATCAGAAATCCGCTTCATTGAGTGACACCTTTTCCACAGAGCTCCTGTCTGCTTTCACCAACATGGGGACTGCTTTCGCGATTGTTCTGGTGTTTGTGGGATGTTGCTGTAACGTGGTGTCTCTGGAGCTGCTTGTAAGGTCAGTGACAAACTTAGACTGTGTATTAAACTCCTGTACTAGAAAAAGGTTTCACAGCTGTGTTTGCCTTGAGTGTGTGTGTGAGTGTATCCAATGTGTAGCAACTGTAGAGTCATTTATTATCAATTTGTCAGAGAAAGGCTTCTCATGTAAGTGCCACTAGGAGCTTATCTTGTACTTGTGTTTAATTTATTATAGATTAAGTGCTCTAAAGTGATTGGTGCTTTTAAGAATAAGATAAGAGATAACTTAATGTATCCCAAAGTTCAACATTTTGTGGCAACATCTCTTAATTTGAAAGATAGTATAAATATTCTTTCTTTTAAGAACATATTATATTTTTCATTAATAGAAATTGAACAAGAAATAGTAGAAGAACATGAAGCATATGGAAGTGAATGCCAGAGTTGTTTGTATATTCTATTGAATCCTTATGACCTTCTGCCATAGAGGTACCCACTTTTTCTGGGGTGCATAACACATGCAAATATGTCAATTATTGAGTCTGTGTTTTGCAATGTCATCCTTTAAAGCTTAACATCTTGGATATAACACCTGGATATTCTCTGTTGTTGTGTCCTGCAGACAGTTTCCAGGATGTGGAAACATAGTCACCTTCGCTCAGTTCCTCTTCATCGCATTAGAAGGTTTCATCTTTGAAACAAAATTTGGGACGAAGAAACCAGCGATCCCTATCCGGTAATAACTCAACCAGGTGGTCTGAACGTCCTGCTGCAGGAAAATATATAGAATGGACACTAAAACAAACCTGTTATCTCACATCTCTCTTCCCCAGCAACTATGTGATCATGGTGACCATGTTCTTCACCGTCAGTGTGATCAACAACTACGCTCTCAACTTCAACATCGCCATGCCGCTGCACATGATCTTCAGATCGGTAAGAGCTGCCTTTTGTCTTCTTTTAACCTTTTTATTATTGAGTTTCTTTAATATGACATTACTTCCATGTATCACCTGAGTCTGATGTCTGTCTTGTTTCCTTGCAGGGTTCGCTAATCGCTAACATGATCCTGGGAATAATCATCCTGAAGAAAAGGTACACCTTCCTGAAAACCATGATACTTCAGATATGATATAGATAAAGTCTTCAGGTCGAAAAGCACTAATTTCTGTCTCCCCTTCTTCTCCCCCTGCAGGTATACAGCAAGTAAATATCTGTCTATAGCTTTAATTTCAGCAGGTATCTTCATCTGCACCATCATGTCTGCCAAACAAGTGGTGAGAGCCTTTTTTATCAGTACAAGACTTCTTCTCTTTCAAAGTGCATGCAACATTGATCTGAAATGTTTCTGAGGCATTTTGTCATTTTCTTTCTGCAGAATGTAGCCACTGAGGGATCAGAAGAGCAAGGCTTTTACCCACTGATCCACTGGCTTATAGGTGAGTTGCACTTTCAATTGAGAATTCAAAATGGAAATGAAAAGACCGCAACCATGGATTATTGAAATTACATTGTGAATCATTTAGTCAAAAAAATGACAAGAAAATGTGTACATGTCCATCATAACTCACCACAGGCCAAAGACATATCTTAAATTACATATTTATTCCAAAACTTAAACATGTTTAATTTACATGCAAATAAAAGAGAGAAAGCAGCAAAGTTTAACAGCGTTTTTGATATTTTTGCTGATAAAACTACAAAAAAAATGTAACAATCATATTAATAAACCTTCTGTCGATTGACCTTATTGGAATGAGTGTGACGAAGCCAACCGAGGTCATAATTCGATTTAAAATGAAAAGGTGCAATTAATCAAATGTAAGAGACAGATTCAGATTTAACATCTATCCCATTAACATGATCTCCTAAAGTGATTTTATTATTTTGTTTTCTTCAGGTATCGCCATGTTGACCTTTGCTCTGCTGATGTCTGCGAGGATGGGCATTTTCCAGGAGACACTGTACAAGCAGTACGGAAAACACTCCAAGGAAGCCCTCTTCTATAATGTCAGTTGTATCCCTGCTCCGACATGATTGGGCTCTTTGGAAATATTCTCTCTGGGGAATCCATTATGGCTTCAACAGCTATCGATCTTTTTATTCCCATCTCTGTGTAGCACTGCCTGCCTCTGCCGGGCTTCCTGCTCCTCTGCACCGACATCTACAACCACGCCGTCCACTTCAGTCACAGCAGTGAGTGTTATTAATACATATCAATAAAGCCCTTTTGTATTGTATTGTTATTATGTCAGGAGAGCATTTTTCTCACAGATGTAAATGAACCTCTCTTTGCTCCCTCTCAGCTCCTACAGTTGTTCCTGTGGTCGGAGGGACGATGCCAATATTGTGGCTCTACCTCCTGATCAACGTCATCACACAGTATCCTGACAAACACGTTTATATCACTACCTTCTATTTATTTATCCAATTTTTAAAAGTGATTACACTAGTGACCGACCTCCAAAAGAGCCCCCAGGTTGATTAAGAAAATAGGAAGAAACAGTATATATTTCAAAAAATACTTTGACTTTATCATTCATTTTGTTTTCTCTCTAATCCGTGCTGTTTTCTTGTAAAATATTGTATAGTTCTGGTGGGTTGCTAGTAGGCACACTGTTTGTGTCATAGTTAGCGTTGGCTATCAGACATTTGTCAACCGCTGTTTGTAGGTGGTCTGATAGTTCGAGTATCCACATTTCGGTAGTGAATTATTTCTCCAACACTATAAATAACGTATGCATATTCTGTAAAATAAATATATAGGTTAAACAAATTCAATGGGTAAAATAAGATGTAAGTTATTCTGAAATTAAGGAATAACTTTTAATATGCTATTAAAAGATCCTGAAAACGTATCCCTAGCACATTTTATGTTAAGGATCATCTTTAAAAATAGGCTGGGTGTGCTTTCAATACACTGGCAGAAACCCAATAACCTGCTGTTCCCAACACTGATCACGTCTCCTCTGAAACTCACGCATCATGTTCACACAGGTATCAAAACATATTGCACAGTTAGCTCACAGGTGAAAAGATAAGAAACCGCTTTTTATTATTTTCTAAAATAACAAATTATTCTTGTTTTTATCAGCTTGAGTGTACAACATATTTTGTTTGTTTTTAACTATGTGAGGAAATCAACAAACTGTAAATACTTCACTAGAGACAAAACAAGATAGTTACACTGGTTGTCCAAGACTTAAGCTGAATTAATTTAGTATTGTCTCCCCCTCTTGTTACAGCCTTTAACCAGTGTTTTCCAGGTATGTGTGCATCAGAGGTGTCTTCATCCTGACCACAGAGTGCGCCTCGCTGACCGTCACTCTGGTGGTGACCCTGAGGAAGTTCCTCAGCCTCATCATCTCCATCATGTACTTCCAGAACCCCTTCACCACGTGGCACTGGGTGGGCACGGCGGTCGTCTTCCTCGGCACGCTGCTCTACACCGAGGTGTTGAGCAGTGTGTGGGCGGCTCTGCGTGGACCAGGCGGCAAGGCCAAGAAGGCCGAGTGAAGAGGAAGAAGAAGAAGAGGATGATAAGGGACTAATGGTCAGATAGAAACACAGCGACTGTGACGGACTTAGAGGTTGTTTTTGGTCAAAACTACCTGCAGCGATTTTATGCAGTTATGTCATTTTATGTCACACACAAACACACACACACACACACACAGTTTAGACTAGAGGATAAGACTGGTGATACTTTATATGTTCATTATTATCCGCTAATCGCTAGGAGACTCAAATAGGAGAATTTGCTGCTTTTTGGGTTGGTCTAATATTGAAGTTATTTCAATATATTTGGGCTTTAAACTGTTAATTGAAGCTTTTAAAACTTGTCACATATCTTTCAAATGTTAAATAATTTCCCGGAACAAAACTCGTCACTGAAGTTTTAGCGAAAATTATTCGAACACGACTAAATAGTGCATTTTTTAAGGAGTATTTTTAGCTGTGACTCAATACACAATAATGGAGGGAACATGTGATGTGTCTCAATAATGTGTTTTTAATGATTGTTGTGAAATAATGGCGCTCTAGAACAGACAGAGAAAGTTGTATTAAGCTTTGGCTACTGGGTCACTTTGTTGTTGTTTTTTCCTAAATCGGATTATTGATAATAAAATATCACCAGCCCTATTCTTAAATATTGGTACCTCATTCGTTTTATCAGGTGCAAAATGATGGTGCAACTTTCTTGTGTCTTTAAAAGTTGTTATTATTTATTTTCTCAATGTGACAGCTAATTTACTCCATTTTAGCACTGATACCAACGTGTGTCAGTACAGTGAACGCAATACTGTGATGCTGTTGGACGTAAGACTATTCCTACATGAATGTTTAGGAGCAGCTGGAAACACTGTTTGTATAGAGGGATAACTTATGTGGATCATAAGGATGCTGTAATCTTGTTTTCCTCATCTGTCAAACTGTCTCAGGTGTATTTCATCAGTTTTTCCTCAACAGGAAACATCCCATCTTAAAATAAACCTTTACACTCATTAAAATGACAACCTGCTACAAATATACAGAAGATACCAGAGTATCTGTTGCTAATTTAAAGGGCTGTACTTGAGTATAATTTTGAAGTACTTGTACTTTACATGAGTATTAATAACTGAACCTCCTTCATACTTCTGCTCGTCTACGTCTAAGTTGCCTTTACTCCTCTCACATAACACAAAATATAATTGTTGTGATGTATTTTAGATTAAGCAACCAAGCAGTAAAGATCCACGTTTTCCCCCTATAACATTAAAGTTATGCTTACATAAAATGTATCGATCACCATGATACAATTATATAATATACATAATTATGAAATGAGCCATTTTGCATTAAAAGCGCTTTAACTTTCTGTACTTTAGAAATATATTATGAAGTGTTATTTAACGTGTACCTTGAGTACTGCTTGAGTATTTCTAGATGCTTTCATTGCTACTTTTACTTAAATGAGTACTACCACTTCTTTAAAATAAACTTAAAAGTAGAAAAAGTATGCCGAAAGCCCCATTTCAGAATAGAGTGTATCATATTTTTGGATTGTAATACATCATTTGACAGATGATGATCCTGCTGCTGTGTATTGTAATAATAGGCTATATTATATTAATGTGTTGATTATACTTTACATCAAGTATTTTAATCTGTCACGTAAATAGCAATATAGTGGATACTTTACATGTAGCCTACAACATAGGCCTACAATATTTTCTTCTGAATTGTAGTAGAGTAGTCATGAAGTAGCATAAAATGTACATTCTCAAGCCAAGTACAAGTAATTAAAAATGCCCTTTCAGTACTTGTGTAAATGTACTAAGTCAGGCTACTTCAAAACACTGATAAATTGTTAGTTTTATAAGTATTGTTTGCTGGGACACAATGTTCCTTCATGTCTGACACGCTGTAAAGCAAACGGACCAATCAGGAGCCGCGTTGTTCAGCAATATCCAATAGCAGCAGCTCTTGTTGACGCTCGGAGTGGGAAGGGCAGATTGTTGCAGCTGTAGAGTTGATATCACTGAGCGCACATCCACCTTGTGGATTAAATAATATCATACATACTAAGAGTAGCGAGTATCTGCTGCTGCTGGAGTGTGGATGGGGGGAAACAGTCCGAGTCACCTCCCAGGAGAGGAGGGTGGAGGAGTCAATTTTGTGAAGGGCATTCGGGTGAGTGAAAGCTCAGGGAGAATGCATGGTTCTGAAAGTGGGAGAAAGTATTCAAACAATTACTGCACACTGTTTCAATGCGCAGACCCTCAATGCACAGGGCATGAGTGTTAGGTTGTTTTTGCAAGCCCTGCTGATTTATACTTTTCTGATTTTGAGATATGTAGTATTTTTTTGTATTGATTGAACTGGACCTCATGTTTGTTGTCACTGCAAAAATGTAGGCTTTCACACACTGCTGTGGTGTTAAATATAGCAAGAAAATGGTGGGCTGTAACATGGACTACAAGGAAAATACAAATACTTGTACACCTGCTTGAATAATCTTATTAAGGAGATGATCTAATTTAATAAAAAATAAATCCCTTTTTTTTTTTTTTAAATAAAACGTGTGTCACGAATATACAATTTTTAAAAGCCAATTCTAAATTCGTGTTTGAGTATTTAAACAAGCCCCAGAAGTTATTTTGAGGTAGTTATCAAACTGCGACCTTTGTTTATCGACCACTATCGGTGACCTCCTGCAACACCAAGGGAACTTTAAAACTCTAAGGACAGAGCAGCAAAGTAAACATTAAGCTGATACACACATAATTATGTATAACTAATCAACCACAAGGAGTGGAAGGTTAGGCAGGTCCATATTATGTAATAATTGTAGAGATTGTAAGAACGTTTTTCAAATTTCTGCAACTAAAGTTCTGTTCTTGACTAGACTACATACTGAAGCACTCCTACTGAATTTCCTCTCTAGGGACCGATACGTTTTGACCTGATTTTTAGTATTTAGAGACTTTCTTTGTGATCATGGCCTTAAGATCTCAGATAGGTCTTAAACATTATTTAATTATAATGAATTTACTCTTAATCAAAAGAATACAGAAGTGTTCATCAGACAGAAGTAAAGTTGCAAAGACATGATTTTCCGACACAATGAGAGCTCCATTTCTTTTAATCTATGTAGGCCGGTCACATCTCGCGCTACTAAAGCCAGATAAAGAAAAAGAGGTCAAAAGCACTTAAAGAAAAACACTTAACTATAAGAAGAAATCCTTAACAAATCCATGTAATTTAAGTGTTTCTTTTGTTTCTCTCCAGCTGTCAGACAAAGTGATCCATCGGATGAAGGAGTCTAAGGTCGTCGCTCCTGCACCTTCACAGAAACCACGTCCTCCTCCACCTGAAACACAAACACCACCTCCCGTTCCCCCCCCCTCAGTCAAACACGTACTCCCTCTCCTGACACCTCCACCTCCGTTCACCCCCCCACAACAAACTCTTGAAGCCCCATCCCTTCCTCCATCAGTGGAACTGGCTCCTCCTGTAAAACTCGTACTTCCACCTCCTGTGAAGTTTCACTCCCTGCCAGAAGCTCCACCTCTAGCTGACCCTGTTCTCTCCTCTCCACCTCCGCCTACTGCACCTCCACAAGTAGATGCACCTGTGGAGTCTCCTGCTCCACCCGCTGTAGTGGAGCCAGTAGTCCCAACTCCATTTGAATCCTTCCTCCGACCTCATGTAGAGCCAGAAACCCTGTCTCCACCTCCAGTAGCAGAACCTGTTGTCATACCTCCACCTGTGGACTTGGCTGTTGCTCCACCTGAACCTCTAGCTTCCCCTCCGCCCTCTGAAACACCTGCTGCTGTAGCTCTGTCTGTTGAACCTCTTCATTCTGCTTTACTGTCTGCTCCACCAGAGGAAACGGGTCAGGCTCCACCCACTGTTGAATTAACCCCAATAACACCACCCTGTCCTGTTGAGGCTGCAGTCCCTCCTGCTGCAGCTTTTGATTTAACGCCTGCATGTGAAACGCTTCCACCTCCATCACCTCAAGAGCTGCTGGAAGCACCCACTCCTCTTTTTGAGTCAGTGGCAGCTCCATCTTCTCCACCAGAGTATGTGGCAGCACCATCTACTCTGTTAGAGTCCATTGCACCACCCTGTTGTCCACCAGAGCCAATGACAGCACCATCTCCTACCTTAGAGCCCATTGCACCACCCTGTTCTCCACCAGAGCCAATGACAGCACCATCTCCTACCTTAGAGTCGCTGGCAGCTCCCTGTCTTTCACTAGAGCTTGTGGCACCACCATCTCCTGCCCCGGAGCCGGTGGCCCCACCCACCCCTCTTTTAGAGCTGGTAACAGCACCACCTACTCCCACTGAGACGGTGGCACCGTCTGCCCCTCTTGTAGAGTCTGTTGCACCACCTGCTCCTCTCCCAGAGCCAGTGACAGCACCAGCTCCTCTTTTGGAATCTGTGGTGGCACCTTCCCCTCCCCCAGAGATTGTGGAAGCACCCTCTCCTACTCCAGAGCAGGTGGAAGCACCCTCTCCTCTTTTAGAGTGTGTTGCACCACCCACTCCTCTCCCAGAGCCAGTGACAGCACCAGCTCCTTCCTTAGATTTGGTGGCGGCACCTTCCCCTCCCCCAGAGATTGTGGAAGCACCCTCTACTACTCCAGAGCAGGAGGAAGCACCCACTCCTCTACCAGAGCCAATGGCAGCCCCTCTAGAGCTTGTTGCAGCACCATCTTCTCCCCTGGAGCCAGAAGCACCACCCTCTCCTCTTTTAGAGTTGGTTGCTGCACCCTGTCCTCCCCCCGAGGCCCTGGCGGCACCTTCACCTCCCCCAGAGCTCACTTTTGAAGAGCCCTCCCCTCCCTGTCACTGTGTGGAGTTGGCTCTTGTACCCTCTGATGCACCTGTAAGCCATTCCTTCGTCGAGCCTCTGGCACCACCTCCACCTCCACCTGCTCCTGCTCCACCTGTTGAGGAGCCCACCCTGACGGTGTTTCTGCCCCCTGCCGTTGAGGCTGAAGTTCCTGCTGTAGCCTCAGCAGCTCCACCTGCAGCAGGTGAGCTGATCGCCAAGGAAAAGATTGTAGCAAGATATTTAAATATAATGTTTTTAAAGCTTTTTATCAATGATTGAATGTGTTTACAGCCCCACCTCCTCCTCCTGAGGTGGTGGAGGAGAACCTCAGGCAGAAGATCAAAGAGGAGATGCAGATGAGTCTGGAGGAGGAGATCTACCAGAGGAGGCAGGAGCTGCAGCGACAGTAAGGAATCCTGTTTCTGTGACCTGTGCTCTTATGTGGGAACCCTTGGGTCCTGTTGCTGTGTGATTAGATGAACTGTATATATGTTGTTTCCACTTTAATTGAAATAAGATGTCTGATTAATATGTAGCAGTCAGCCATTCAATTGAATATTGGTTTGATTAATCGGTTAAAAGGGTTACAAATTCACAAACTCTCACTCAGAGTTGAAAAAAAAGTGTGTGTGTGTGTGTGTGTGTGTGTGTGTGTGTGTGTGTGTGTGTGTGTGTGTGTGTGTGTGTGTGTGTGTGTGTGTGTGTGTGTGTGTGTGTGTGTGTCCCTGTAATCAATGGTTATTTTCACTATTAGTTGATTGGCCGATTACTTTTCTAGCTCGAATAATCGTTTTGTGTATGAAATGTCAGAAAATATTGAAAAATGCACATCACGATTTCCATCTATGGCCAAAACCGAAAGATAATCAGTGAAGAGTGATACTAAGCAGCACATCCTCACATTTCAGAAGCTAAAGATTGAACATTTTGCTTGAAAAATAGCATCAAAATTGCAGTTGATGATATTTCTTTCTATCAACTTATCAACTTATTCAATCGCTTTAAGCTAATGTGTGACGGATGAACCAGTGCAAGTAGAACATGTCAACTGTGTGCAGGCTGGACGAGATAAGGGCTCAGGCTCATGCAGAGGCCCTGTCAGCCGCTAAGACGCAGGTGGAGAAGCAGGTGATGAAGACGCTGCAGGCGGAGAAGGCGGCGTACGTGGAGAACCTGACGGAGGCCATCGCGAAGGAGCGAATAAAGACTGACGATGAGAGGCTGATGGTGCAGCTTTACGTAAGCACACAAACAACACGATCTGTACATCGATAGGATCTCTCGTGACAATGTGAAAGCCCTTCCTCCTCTTACTGTGAATCTCTTTCTTTCTTGCCCTCTTGTGTTGTTTCAGCGGATGGAGGTGAAGGTAAGACGGGAGATCATTTACACGTGCATGACTCACTTTTTCACTTTCATTCTACTCTAATCGCACTGAAGCTGCTGTGTTTATGCTTTGCTGCTCTTCATTTCTTTGATGATGAGATAAGAAAATAAAGTGATATCACATATTGGAATTCTGTTTACTGTCCACAATATATGAAATCATGAACATTTCATTGTGGATTTAGCTAACACATTTAAACTCACAGGCTCATCAGCTGGAGGAGCGGGAGAAAGAGCTGAGGAAACGAGACGCTCTCTACAGGGAACACGTCTCAAAACTTGAAAAAAAGGTGAACACAATGTAGAGCAGTGCTTCTCAAAGTGTGGTTCGCGGACCACTGGTGGTCCGTGAGCGTCCCCTAGTGGTCCGTGAGTATATTGGTAAAATTTCACATTTGAAATACATTTATTAATTTAAGTTTTCCGCACTCTCGCGGGAATATCTCCGCAATGGAGCAAGGTTACATTTCACTTTGAATTGCATGATGTAGCCCAGCGCAACACCTTCATCACACGTGTTGCCACTTGTTTGTACCATTTTCAGGCGATTTGTAATCTGTTCTAGAAAAACTTGTGTTTTTTGATATTTGTGGAGTTACGTGGTCCGCGAGTATTTTTTTATTGGTTAAGTGGTCCTTTGTATGAAAAAGTTTGAGAAACACTGATGTAGAGAATCGCCTGAATCTGCAGCTCTTATTGTTGCTTCATAATGAGTATTTGATCATTGTTTAGCTCTCCACAAATGTACAAACTGTACATTGTGTCATTTACAGCAGCAGCATGCAGGCATTGTCAGAGAACAAGCTCTTTATATTTTAAGTGTTGTAATATTTTACCTTTGAGTTTTTTTCCCTGTTTGACAGTGCACTGAGTTTTATAAAGTGACGGCTGAGAGCTTCCAGAAGGGCAAACAAGACACTCACAACCGTTTTGCGTAAGTTTGGAATCATTGTATTTGCATGAATCCAAAAATGACGCCCAAATGTGCCTGTCTTAATAATCTGGTCTTAAAGGGGACCTAGTATGCTCATTTGCAGGTTCATATTGTGGTATCTCTACTGTGCTTCAATGTTCGGTAACTTTTCTCATACTGCTG